GGGGGGTGAAGGACAAACAGTAAGGCTTTTACAGGCGCGTAGATGAGTTTATATCTAATGCGACAATCATGATGGTCCAACCAAAATAGCTCAAAAAGAGATGATAGAACGTTTTGAGCGGTTGATGAACTACACGGAGAGGCGAGACAACAGAGGTAAAAAAAGATGGGAAGGAAGAAAGGACTCTCTCTCTCTTTCTGTCAGGTTTTTGGATAGTATGAGAGACATGAAACGACAGAGAGCATTCTAACATTCACAGAACTTACCAACTTCAAGGAATTTGGACTGATGCAAATGCCATGAAAGCGGACAATGTTGGGATGATCAAAACTGTGCATCAGGGCAGCCTCCTTGAGGAAGTCCTCAGCTGCAGCTGGGAACTTATCCAAGTCGAGCACCTTAACTGCCACTTGTAGTTCTCGACCTGTTGCCGAACGCCAGAGACCCTGCACAGAAAAAGACAAGCAATTTTACACATTTAGGTACGCACCAAATCTTGACACACACGCACAATGACTCGTTCGTTCTACCTCTCATTCTCTACTTCTCTCCGGTCATTTTTCCAGCCTTGTTGACTTTTAAAAGTATCCTACGAAGGCTTTCTTCAGCTGCCCGTGTTTCTTATGCTTTTTAGCTGGCACTATACTACAGCGAAACTTTACAACGGTCAAGCGATTCGCTGATATAATATTTAATTGGGTTGCCCACCCCCTCCACTCTGAATTAATGGCTACGAAGTCTTCCCGTACTAGGCGCCGAAGCTTCCGACTTATGTCCTGCTATACATCGAAAGGTCAGCATTCTGTACTGCAACTCTTCGCACGTTACCTCACGTGTTGAGGAACTGAAAGCTAGAAGTTGAGATTGGACCCGTTCCCATAACAGATGTATATTTAATGTAAGCCTCTACATTTCTGAGTATTTTGTCGATTTATACCGTGTCACAATAGCAAAAACCAAAGAGCTTTAACGAAAACGTTTATCAAAGGCGTCGTCTGTCGCTGCTAAAGGGTTCAAGAAACCTCATTAAAAGCCGGCAAATGTGAGCTATAAGTTGCGAATGTCACATCTTGAGTGACGATTGCCCGTACACCACAAGGAACAGAGGTCGATAAACAGACGGA